CTGAACCTCTGGTACAGCTATAGCTGATGTCTGGTCTGGGAGCTGCCACCCCCCTGGGAAGACAGCAGGTTAAGGCCTCCAGCCAACACTTTTCCCAGTGCTACCAAAAGATCAAAAGCATTTTGCCTGAACAAAACAATAAGTATATTATTTATTTTACAAACAGGCAGGAAAAATCCAGAAGCATGCTCTAAATATCTCGTCAATGATGTTCTCAAAGCAAAAATGAGGTGGTCTTTAAACTGCATCTGTACTGATTCATCACTGGATGCTGCCACTTCCTGCCTGCTCTCATCCTTGTCCAAAAAAGCATTCCCTCTTTGTTCCAAAGTACATAATGCTCTTTCTTTAAAAAGGAAATTCTTAGTTTACCATATATAATAGGGGAGCTACAAAAAATGAGCTAAATGAAGGCTTATATTAGCAGGATAAGCCCCCTGTTACAATAATTGTTATTGAAACAATAAATTCTTTCCAATATCTAGGAAAATCAGTCACTGGTTTCTTATATGGACTCCTTTTCCTTGAGCACAACTTTTTTCCTTTGTTTCAGTCAAATAATTAAAGCACAATACTATATAATTTGGATCTTTAACTCGTCTTCTGCTCACCGCAGGCCAAATTCTCTTGGCTGGTGAACACTTTTCTAGCTACATAAAGTGGCGTTCTATTTAACCACAGTAAGATTCTCCAGATATCCTTGGCTCTTCTGGTGGGACAGACGTCCGTCACATTTGCTTGTCTATGTATTTTTAACAAGAAAATATTGTAAATACCTGGGTATTCCATTCTTTTTCTCCACAATGATGTCTGTAACATCAGAACGATGATCATTTAGTTGCTTATTACAAGACATACTGTGGGTGTTGATTATATAAATAATGGAGTCTTGAGAACCAATCCACACTTGACTCTGTTCTACCATGATCATACAAGTCTAGGGAGAAAAAGGAGGATTAAATAAAAGCTAGAAGAAAAATCACTCCTTAATGCAACACGGAAAAAGGCTATATTAAGATGCTACAGTTTTCTGGTGTTTACAGTAAGAGATCAAAACTCAGTGCTCTGGTATTCTATCCTTTTCTCTGCTCTACAAATAATGAGAGAGGACAGACCACTTTGCTGAGTTTATCCTTCAGTAAATAGGATTAATAAGGTATTTTGGTAACTGATTCAAAGCTGCATTTTCCGGCCCAAAGTAAAAGTTATAAAGGGCACCAGGGGAAACCACAGAAGTTCGTGTATTTCTCTCTTCTGAACTGGAAGCCATCCTAACCATCTGATATAAATATACTTCCTACTTCAGTTAGAAGTGGTGTCTAAGAAAATACTGTCTTCTCCTCTACTGTCTCTGGGATGTGCTTCCTCCATTTAGAAGCTCTTCATTTCTCTCCCTTCTCAGTCTCATCAGTTCCAAACTTTCCTCTTCTTTTTTTTTCTCTTCTTTAGAATAGGTCGGTATCCGACTCTTCTGGATTTCCATCTTCCCTCCACCCAGCCCTTCACTATCAGTTTCACCTCTCTGTTTTTGACTCTCTCTCACACCCATCCACAGTGATGTTTCTCAGCTTTCCCACAAGTGACCTAACCTATCCCTTTTCCTGCATGTTCTCTCTACTGTGTGTTTTTCACTCAGTCTGCAGCTCTGGTTCAGCTTCCCTTTTCATTGAGAGAATTATTTCTTTCCAATGGTCATTCACAAGCAATTATCTTTAACCTGCTGGTTGAGCCATCTTCTTTTAGAGCACTCTCTCTCTTTCAGTATCATCTGCCTGGTTTCCTTACTCCTTTCTCCAATTTCCAGTTCTTCAGCACATGTGACTTTTCTTCCATTCTTAGAGCTCATCTCATTTTCTCTCTATATTGATTCTCTCCATTATTCTTTCGCCTCAGCTGATTCAAACCCACCCTCCTGCCCCAAGAAGCCATACTGTTAGGCCAGCAGGCCCTCCCAATATCCAATCCATCACTTCCCACCAGTTGACTTGTTTTATTATGAATCCATTTTCTCTCTTTTCCATTCTTCTCAAAAATCTCCATTTCTCCGAGTTAACTGAAGCCAAAACAACTCAAGTGTCTTTTTGTAACTTTTAAGGAACGACAAGACAGCATTCCTTAAACGGATCCAGTGGTCTGGGGTCATACAAGCTATAGTAAAAAAGCCACCAAGATAAAGCAGCAATCGTGATATGTGTGTCGGTCTCACCAGTTTAGAGTGTCCCATTTTGAAACAGTGTTGTTGAATAGACCAGGTAGATGCATCAAAGATCACCACTTTCCCTTCATTTAAAGCACACCAGAGCTTCGGATGAGCATTGCCAGGTCTTTCTGAAGGGTCAAGATGTCCTAGAAATGAAGCAGAGAGGATGAGAGAGGTAAAAGAAAATAAACCACACTTGGAGATGCATGGGACAACTATTCTTAGGCAGAGCAGCTTTCTAACGAAAGGCATCTGTATTCTCGAACTTAACATCACCAGTTAATGAATGACAGAGTCTTCACATTGAATTTGTGCTCGTTCTCATCTATTTGTTGAGCTCACCTGATACTTTAATCTTACACTTCAAAGTTACTCAGAGCAGACATAATCTTTCTCACTGATGACTAAGTACTTAGCTAACTGGGATTGCAAAAAGGCTTTTAAGCCCTATGAAATACAACTAATAAATCCCCATTAGAGCTCCACTTGGAAGCCTCATACAACAAAGAAAGAAAAGCACTGAACCCTCCACACGACAGCACATTAAGACATAACTGAAGTCTATTATAAGACACATACACACAGGAAGACAAACTAAGACTGTGAAAGCTATGCCTTGGAGTATCTTACTGTGCAATACTGCTGTTCTTTTTTAATGATTTCTGTTTTGGTATTCAACACACAACCAAAGCATGTCAGAATGTGAACAAAATCAGGCAGACAGAATACCAGGTGTTATGAGATAACATGCTTTATAAGCTAATTAGAGCTGGGCTAACAAAGAAAGGCATACATCACCTTACCTGGCGTATAAAGCAAGACATCTATTGCCTGTGGAAATGTCTCACCAGCTGAGGGGTTGATCTTGTGCTTTAACGTCTCTGAAGTTGTTTTGGGGACCATCATAGGCACTAAAATACATTTTTAAAAAGGTCATGAGGTGCACACTTAAGCCTGAAATAGATCTATAATTCTTATGAAATAATAATTCTGCACCATGTATTCACATTTCTCACTTTTTCTTCCCTCTAGCCCTAGCGGACTATGAGAGCCCAAACACCATTTGTATGAATGCTGGTAGCAGAAGCATGCATACAGCACCCAAGCAGTCTGAACAACTGAAATAAAAACACAGTAGCCAACACAGAGACAGGGATACCAATTAATATTCTGATGCACAGAAGCAAAAAACACAACACCCTAAGCTTTCTATTAATACTATTTAACAAACTACGTCTGTGAAAGTGCAATCAGACTAACATCTTTTTCTATTTCTACAGATAATCAGTTTGAAAATCAGAATATAAACAGAAAAAGCCAAGACAGATGATGCAACAACAGCAGGCTTTGTAGCACTGCTATGTGACTGACCTTCATTTTTCATCCTGTCAAAATAAGCCAGTTTAGAAGCTGCATATATGGTTTTGGAGGACTGCAGGGCACCAACCACAGCATCCATCAGGAGAACATTTGTCAGTGCTTGCTGAATATACTGAGGATCCTAAAGACAAAAGTCTTACTGTAGTTTATCTATTGCTCATTGTTGAACATGGAGACTTGTAAGAATAATCACAATGCATGTCACGCTTAGCACAAGCGTTAGCCAGTTGCTGCCCTGCGGCATAATTTGTGCTACTTGCAGTCAAACCCCACTCCCACATCATATGTTCCGCTCCCAAGTAAGGTCATGGAGCGGGGAGGCAGGAGCCAGTGTTAATTCTTTACACTGAAAGAAGGATTTCAGATCCGGCATAATCTTGATACAGGATGTGCAAACTAAACCACATGAATGGCGCTGATGGAAAAAATACAGCGGACACAGCATTGAATCCCCCTTTTCAGGCTGGATCTTTCCTCACAGGAGGGAAGTACACATTATGCTTCATCTTGGCTAAAATGATTCAAATCCTTCCTGAAGAACCACCAAGCTACATTTTCACTATTAAATTCAGCAGTCATGAAGAATTGTGTGGTTTAAATAGAAGCCCTGCTTGTATGATCCTTTTTCTCAAGATTTCTGGGGCAGAAAAATACATCATGCTCTATTCATTGAAAGGATCTATAGCCACCAGGGTTCCAGCATGGCAAAACTTTTTCTAAGCATTATATTTTGAAGCAAAGTTGGGAAAATTTTCTGTTAGTTTGGATCACTATTCTCATATATTGTGAAACTTAAGAAACTGTTTTACAAAACTAGTGAATAAATTAAAAGTTCCATGCCAACAGATGAGAAAAAATATCCTGTATTTTTAAATGTAATCTCTCCTTTTTCTTTTCTGTATTATTCCAGAAGCATATATGTAGAAGCAACAACAAAAATAAAAGTTTATTACTTAGCTATTATTTGCTGAAACCGAGAAATTCTAAGATTGATGCATGAATTATTTAGATCTGAGACAGAAAGCACACACTTCATATGTATTTGGTTAGAAATTCCCATATTTATACCTTGTGATCATCCGCCATTTTCTTTCCAGCCCACATTTCTTTCACTATCAGGTGCCAGAGATCACACTCAGTTTTAAGGTTAGCTTCAAAGACTTCTTTTTTAGATAGTGTTTTAATCCTCAGAGTAGGTATTCTCAAAAGAAGGAAAGCTACAGTCGTGCTCCTAACGTCCTGGAAATTTTGGGAAACAAAGAAAGCAAGGAAGATAACAACATGCAATCACAGATACGGTGCAGTACTCATCCTATATGGCAACTTTCTCTATTTAATATTACAGATAATGATTTCACTTGCCCATACACACCATTAAGCAGGCATGGCTTTTTGAAAATATAAGTTTCAAACAACATCATACAGACTTTGCTACATAGTGGATACAAGCTGGCTTGCTGACACCAGACAGTCAAATAAAGACACTTAATGCTCATGTTATTAAACTTCTCTAGCTATATCCCATTGCACCCTTCTGTACATCTAGAGGTTATAACCCCTAGATTTTTCTTCTATGTCATCCTAGCACCTAGCAAACCATACGACATCAGCCCTGAAATTCTTGGTCCAAAGACCCATAATTTTATCTAATTATTCATAAGTTAGTAACTTCAGAGGTATTTCCTACACTCCTTACTGAAACTTTAAGTTGAGAGACACATCTCTTGGCAGAACAGAACATGGCCTACATCCAGAAGCATGCAAGAGAACAATAAATTACTTGATGCTCACCTCTATGTCCCTGAAAGCAGCAATATGGACATAGCCAGGATGTCCTCCTTCAGTCAAAAGGAACAAGCGCTTTTGGGTCAGAGCTATTTTTCCTACACCATAGTTGGTTTTAACTGAGCAGGATAACTTATAGACACATTCATTTTTATCTAGATGCTCTATTACTGTTGGTGGCAGATTCACCTCTTGAGCTTCTGCTTCAGTTTCTTTCCAGTAGTTGTAGAAATCTCTGAATGTTTCAGGATCGATTTGTTTCTGTTGTCCTAAAAATTTTTTTAAACTTGTTTACTGTGAGAAAACGATTACACAGATTTGCACAGAAAGATAGATAGCTTTAAAAGACTCTAACTTTCAAATTGTGCACCTGACAGCATAAAGGGTTAGCAAGGTGCAAGAACTACAAAAAATAGGCCTGGAAAACAGTTAAGAGACAAAATTCCTCTCTTGAGGTAGAAAGATTCCTCTCAGTTAGCCTAGGCCACAGGTCCCATGCATCTGGCACCCTCCCTCCACCCTACTATACAGAGGGAGGGAGCAAACACTGTGCCAGTCTTGTTTTTTTAATTCATGCCAAAAATCCAGTCAACCAGTGGGAAAGGATTTGTACTTCCCTACTGAATATTTTTCATTATGATTTTCCAGTTCTTTATTCTATTGAATGCTACTGTATCACATACTTACCAGCCTGAGATAAAAGCTAAAGTTATAACAGTTAAAGACTCACTCCAGCAACAGGTATTCTAAGTAATTATTTACTCTAATCTCAAACAAACACAAATTCTTGCAAGAGGTATGCTACCTCTGGCTTGAGAAAGTCTTGCTAGAGTCTTGCTATTTCAACCAATGTTTAATTTTTTGTGGCCTCAAAAATATAACAGTTACCAGAATAACTAGACAGAGAATTGAATAGTATTTTATAAAAGCACTCTCAAACTATGCTTTTAGAAATCACAAGCTTCAGATCTAATTCGGGAGAGAAGAAAGTTCTCTCAAATATGAATGCAACCTCTCATTTTGCTATGATGACCATCCAAGAGGAATTTTACTGTAGCCACTTGAATTCTGGATTTTCTTTATTTTTAATTGACTGCCACCTTGTCACGTTATCTAGTGGTTTTATAACACAGAAGTATTTTCTTTTAGCAATTAGGACAGTCTCTTGTTCACTTTACTCATAATCTGAGCCAAAGCAGAACTGCACACCATCAGATCACAAAACTACCTCACATACACAACCTGAAAAATTGTAAATTGTCTGCCCAAATACAAGAAGATTCCTTGTCTTTATTGTGGATGCAAGCACAGACATTTTTGTATACATTAAATCCGTTCTCCATAATTATCCTAATTAAATAAAATTATCCATAAAGCTCATACATTGTGAGTTTTTAGAGGCCAAGAAAATGTTGAATAGCAATTAAAAAGAAAAACAACTGGAGACAAAAATTTTATTTTGCTTCATAATAAAAAGGGTTTGACATTGTCATTGCACCAATGTAGAGGGTCATAAAAAATATATCTTAGACTCACCTACTGTTAGGGCATCAAATAACCGATGTATAGTGTCCATATCTTTGACAATCCCAGATTCCTGGATTCGCTTCACAAAATCATCCAGTAGCATATGTGTTTTTGGCAATTCAAAATTTTTTACACGGTCATCTATTTTCACAACTTCTCTTTGTTTTTCTATCACTCGACTTATCAGCTTCTTCAGCTCAGGTTTGCGGTCTGCTTGAAAACGGTCAGATGGAGGCATGGTTTCCACTATTTTTCTCACAAGATCAGTAGGGAAAATTCTTAAATCTGTTTTTTCTAGGTTCTGAAAGTCAGAAAGTGCATTTAGTAGTTTCCCTTGCATCAAACTAATAAGTCCCCGGAGGTAGAAGTACCTTGCCAGCAACGCTGAGTTATCAGGTGGTAAGGTATTTATAGCTTTGCTGAGATGGTTGAAGAAGTCTGTATAGTAGGAGTGAACACACTGGAACATCAGAGGAAAGTGAATTTCTGGGATTTTGAATGTACTGATTGATTTGGAGGGAATTTTCACAGCTAAAAACAAACAAACAAACAAACAAAGTACATTGATTAGTATAAGCAGTGAGTAAAAGTCCGAGTATCTTCACAACCAGCAATACTGAAAACATCAAGAAGAATCGTGATCACAGTAACAAGCAATTACATCACATGAAATTCAAGTAAGATTACAGTTGTGCTAGGGACATAAATGTATTTCTATGTCCATCACCCTTATTATCACAGTATTCACTGATCTGATAATATCAATTCTGTGAAGGGAAAAAAAAAAAAAAAAAAAGGCACTCAGTTTCTATATGACTGACTTTGTTAAACAGTGATATGTTTAAAGGCAGTGGAGAATTGGACACAAGGTGAGGAAGGATCAAACATGGTCACTGACTCAGAAACAACTCTACATTCTCAATCCTGATAAAAGCATTTGGTCTTTTGTGGTACAGCAAAACTTACAACAGACTGATTTAACATGCAAGAAGCAGCACAGACAGGCCCCAGCTCAAAATGACCCAGCTCACCCTTTCCTTCCAGAATCTGACACTGTTTCGGTGAAAATTATTCAGTGATGTCACCCACAAAGACAACAGAAAAGTCTGTACTTGTTCAACATATTCTTCCCTTACCTTCCCTTACGCTTGTTTCTATTCTTCGAAGTGAGGAATTTCTAGTAGGACCCTCTGGCAGCTTGATATCTTGCAGATTAGGCATACTGATAACCATACGCCTGTTAATCCACGCTTGTGGATTGAATTGTTTAGAAGCCATTTTCTCCATAGTCAGTCTTCTCGGGGAATGAAACATCAAGTTTAATCTGAGAAAAATAAAAAAATATAGAACCTGTTTTTAAATTCAGTATACTACACAATAAATTACTACTTGATTTTAATTTTTTCTGTATAATAGTATTAAATCACAATTATAGTACATTTACAGTTGAAATTTACAATTTCAACAGTTTTACAGAATTTACAATTTCAATGGCTGGACATGTTCATATCCCTCTTTTACAGTAATCTTAATAAAACGGCCTACCAATTAGTCAGTCTTATTCACAGATGGTCTGATCTCATACCAAGAGAGTCAAAAGGACTTTCATCACTTATATCAACAGAAGATTCAAAACCAGAATAAGGAAAGAGAAAACTTTACCTGTCCTCTTCAGACTGGGTACTCAACTCAAGTCGAGCAAAAGCATCCATCCTTCTGTTCAGACGAGCTTTAAGAAAAGAGTGGAACATGTAGGTCTCTAAAACCTGTGAGACACAAACTGATTAACTGTGGATCATTTACAAATTACATTTTTATTAGCATGTTTTGCTCATTTTTATTACCTTTATATATGCAAAGCTGAAGCTTTCAATTTGGCAATCACAAAACCAAAAATATTTGAAAGCTTCAGCAACAGAAAACTAACTCAGTTCCCATTCACCTTCTGTACTTTCATGATTTGCTTAGTGGCAAACAGTAATCTCAGACTGCCCTCCAAAAAACGAAACCAAACAAAAAAGAGAAATACTGAGCAAAATTAAACAGTTTTAGTTACTGAAGTTTAACAGTCTATTTTCTGCCTATAACTGAGTGCTGATAATATTGTCTATGGTTTGGAATGAGAAGTTTGTGGCACTCTATATTAACTTTATGTCATCAAACAGAATAGACAAGTGAGTCATCTTTTCTCCTGGTAAACCCCAAAATTGTTCCACGCTCATCTAATTATCGTGGTGTCATCCAGAAATATTTCTAAAAGGTCAAATTGCTACTTTTAGGATACAGGCCACCACAAAAAATGCTAAGTGTGAATTAAAAAGAGTGGAAAGTTACCATCGCCCACCACTGCAAATTAAAACATTGTAAAAGCTAGGATTTGAAGCTATGTGTACTATGAAAATGTTAGTTCTAGCACAGGGCTTTAAGTATTGTTTGAAACAAACAATTCAGAAAACTAATCTGTTCAGAAAAGCAAATGCAAACTCTATCAGGAGACAATACCGTTATAAGCAGGAACAACCTCCAGCCTATACAAACTTACTAACAGAAAGTCAGTTGTATCTTTGAATGTAACTATGAAAAATTATTTTGATTATTGATATATCCCAGAGTCTCACCTAAAATACCCTTTTTAGTCTTGGATTTATCACAGGACACACAAAAAAATTAAAAAAACCCCACCATTGATCACACATCAGTGTATTTCTACGATTTTTAAGAAAGCAAATGAAATTAATGGAAACATTTCACCAACAAACAGGTCACTCTTATTCAGGATACCTCTAATCAATCCATTTGCAACGTATCCTGCAAAATAGCATCCACAAAAGCACTAAGATTCCTGCTTTTAAGTATTTCTCCAGTAGATGGCATATTTTGTTGGCAATTGTATGTAGAGAAAACAAGATGCAACAGAAAGGCTTCTTTCTAATGGTTTTTGGAATTCTCTTAATATAATTCTAGATACCACTAGTAACTACTCCATATTGTGTTATCTTCTAAGATTTCCTGGAAAGAAAACCTGGCACTATGTTATTTAGTATTTAAATGAGTCAACTGCTCAAAGCTCTTCTTAAATACGCACATCTGAGTTTGAAATTACTTTTAAATTTCAATCTGTAAAATTGCCACTATTTCATTTACAGCATTAGAAACTGCTACTAAAAATATTTTATTTTTTCCTATTAATTTGAAATCTTGGCCAGAACATTTCTGATTAATTTATGCCTTGATGACGTATTAATAGGTTCTTTTTCATTTTTCCTTTTTGTTTGTTTGTTTTTAAGAATGTTTGCTAGTGTTGTGCAAGCTTTATCCAGCAAACACTATTTCCTATTTAGGATTCATGAGTTTGTTATCTTTTAATTGCCAGACATTCTACCAAGTTTGGCAACTACTGCTTAAGTAAAATGTGATATTTTTCTGATCATTTCCTTCACACACTGACATCTCCTTTAAACGAATGTTTGGAAACTTTCTTATCATATGTTTGAAGTGCAAAACAAAATAGGAAACCAAAAAGATGTTATATCAGCCATGGCCTGCTGATATTAATAAACAGATCTTTTTGCCAGGTATAAAGCAGCTACTCCAGAGAGCCAACTGCCAAATTCTAGTGGCAAAGGAAACTTCTCTAACTTTCATATACATCTGTGGAACATAATTAAAAGCAAACGTAAAATGGCAGATACACTTTCTTACATTCCTTGTTAAACTTATGCTTTGACCCACAGGTTTCTTAAACAAGCTACAGTATCACTAAAAAAAGTGAAGACACAACTCAGTAATATTCTACTTTTGAGAAGCTTAAATAGCAGCACAACATGTCCTATAGTTGCTTAGAATAAGAAGCTACTTAATAAGCATCTATCTGTAAATTGCACCAAAGGGTGCAAGAAGTTGAGAAAGATGTCTTGCATCCCTTCAGAAATCAGGTTATTGACCACAGTCCCAGTTTAGGGTAGCAGTCTTCCAAACAATTATTTTTTCATTTAACTAAGGTAGACTTTTTATTTGGTTAATAATCATGACACTTAAAAAAAAAAATGACAAGTTTGTAACTTTGGATTTTAGCTTGCTGCGTCAAGGACGAATTCTCATAGAACACTGTACATGGCTAGACACAAACCTTCAAAACAAGTAAATTCTGTTTCTCACATTTACAACAGTTTAATTCTTTAAAAGCAAATATTAATTTAATTGGGTGCAATCAGTTTAACGTAAAATAGCAGTAAAGATGAAACACTGAACCTCCCCACTTCTGGGCAAAGTACCCTAACAGTGCAAGATACTCTCACAGAAACCTGTCTCTCTTTCTCTCCCTGCTCCTTTCCTTCTGTTACTCTTTCCTTTCTCCTTACTTCTCACCCAAAGGATCTCCAACATTTGATGGTCAGTGAGAGTCCTACACCAAAGGCATGGAGAACTGCTCTAAATCCTACAGCCTAATGACCAAGACAATCTCCTTTTAATGAGAAAATTAAACCCACCCCATTTCCTTAGGACATACAAAGCCACCACATAAAAGGCAGACTTCTGCACCAGTATTGTCTGTGCTACAGAAGAAAACAGACCTGTATCCTTCATAAAAACCTAGTTCACTGCATACATCGGCTGAAAATCGAGTCACTTTGGAGCTTCAAAAGATCAAACGCTAACGGAAGGATCAAGCTGATCAGGGCAGCTGCAAAAGGGACTCAGGGCTTGTACGGAAAAACTCCACAACCTTACAGGGTTTCAAACTCAGGTAAGTATCTAATAAACTGAGTTAGCATGAGGGCTAAAAAAACCTAAGTGGGGATTTCAGGATATCCTTTAGCTTCCAGCACTACTGGGCCTGGCCTGAGGCTATGCACGATTTGAATATTACTTCATGGGCTTCACCAGCCTGTAAATTACAGTTATGCTACCTGGTAAAGCACATGTAAGCTAAATCAACTTATGTCCTGCATGCCCTGTCATGCTGCAGGCCCTAAAGACACCAGTGCCACTCGTGCTCAGAGCCAGCAGCGTGCATTTGCTGTGACACATTTGGGAAACAGGCTTGCGGGTGTGGAGCCAAGCAGGCACTGTCAACTCCATACCCTGTTGCTCAGGCTGCAGATAAAGCAGGTATTCTGATTTGTGTCATTTGAATTCCCTTCCACTGTCCTCACAGGCTTGCTGAAAACTCATGTCTATGTATGGGCTTTGGTCCAAACAGTTTGGACAAGTGCCTGTGCTTAAAATACAGTTTAGATGCAGCTTTACTGACCATCTGCCATAGGTTAATCTCACCTCCAAGGAATTACATTTAATTTGCTCCAGAAATGTAATTCTGAATTACCTTGCACTCCAAAATGCTGTCTACCATTTTATCTGTTTTAAGGAAATAAATTTGGTAAAGCATTCTGTGAAATTTGGTGGGTGAACAACACCACACAGACCAAACTGTGACTATTCTTTAATATTTGGCATTAATCCTAAAATACAGATTAATAACAGACAATCACAACATATTTAATACTGAATTTACCTTTTTGTAAAATGGCTGGTCTCTGATTGCCCTTGTTTTCAGAAATTCCTCGCTGTTAAACACTCTGTGCTCATAATTTAGATGGTCTTTTACCTCCCTGGAGACAAAAATAAATTAATAGATAAATATGCTTGGAGATTTGTAAACAAGTTGCACTTTTGGCAGCCCACTGGTACTACTAGAAATACACTGCAGCATCAGAAGGCAAAATAGAAATATGCTGCAGGATCAGAAGGCAAACTCAGTTTTAAGGAACAAGTCTGAGTTACTGAATCATAGAAAAAGCATGCAAGCTCTTACAATAGGTAAGAGAAGCTACCTGCTGCCACTGCCATTTTAAATCAGCAAATTCACTTAGAGCCTGTGGGAACAATTTAAGTAAACCATGGAGGAGAAGCTATATATTTAAGTCATGACTTAGGCTCCAGTCCTGGAATTACATTTACATACACAGCTCCTGAATCACAGACAACCCATCTGGAGCACCAAAAAGATAAGTGTACCTATCTGCACAGGCAATTCAAAAGATGTGACCTGACCTCACACTGTCCCATTCCATTGCATTTGTAACATGCACGTGAAATATTATAGATTACATAATTTTTTTTCTGCACTCTCACACTCGGCTCACAAAGCCAGAAATAACTGGCAATTGTGTTAAACTAAAGAGACAGAACTATCAAAATAAAAGAAAAAGTGAGATAAAGAGTTGATGTATATTTTAGTATACGCATGGTCACAGCTGGCAGCAGAGGTCCTATACTATCCCTGGAAAACCAGATGTCAACAGTAACTTCTGAGCCAGGAAAAGTTGTTTCAGGAGCAGAAAGTGGGAGTTCTTCACAAGAAAACTGTTCTCTGAAGTCTCTGAGTAAGAAAGAAGTTACTTAAGCTAGGTATTTGCAAGTGGCTAAAATAAGGGCTCTTATTACATCTTATTTCATCTATTCATGATGAGTATTGATGAATAAGTAAGTCCCATGAAAATACATTAATTAAGAAAATAAGTTGGTGAGCTAAAATTTGAATGTAAGCACAAATGGGGAATCTCAGAGAACAGACAGAGCTATACACCACTTCCTTCATAGATTGGTGATAAATGCCCATTAGCAGTTTTTTCTGAACCCACATGGCTTGATAAAGATGGTTAGTAAAAGTACATAGTTCTATATAATTCTACATAATTTAACATTGTTTGCTTTACATATGGAACCTCCACGCACACAAAAATACTACAGTGCTTCACTGAAGACTGTAACACCTGGCAGCACAGTTGCACGAGAGATTTACTTTCCTCCATTCCTGGATGCTGGTAGATATAGCATTAGAAGACAGAAGAAACAAGGCTGAAAAAAAGAAGAAAAAGTTTGAAGGAAAGGAGAAAGAAAGCAAGAGAAGAATCAACCCATCTGCAAAACATATTTTCTCTTGGAGAGCTAAGCATCTGTTCATTTTTTGCAGACAAGCATTTAGTGCATTAAAGAGTTCAAGCTGTTAGCAACAAAATGCATTTCTCCTCATCTGGAACATATTGTTGCCAAACAGTGAAATCCACCAAATCCCACAGCAGTAGCACATCAGGTTGTAAATTTCAGTTTCCATATTCAGCTAGCTGCAAAGTCTGCTCTATCCTCCACACCTAGCATCTATTGTCCTCCTGGAAGGCCCAGCCACCTGTATGAACACTCCCTAAAGCTGATCCAACAAAAGTGAGCAAAAGAAATGAAGCATATGCAGACCAGCCATCCATTTGCTGCACTTTTTTGTACAAATCACTTACCACACTTCCACTCCCTCCCCAAATACAAGCAAAAAATAGCAGGATTTACCACCCGTACCCACATTGATAAGATAAAGCAACTGTGGGTATCAACAAGGAAAATTAGCATAGCTGGACCTTCTTCTAGAGGAAAAAAAAAAAAACCAACACCCCTACTCCACATCATTATTAAAATATCAGACCCAACCACACCCAATACTCACCATTTCTTGTGCCAACTTTCTGTCCTTGAGCTTAAACAGCCCCTCTCCCTCCCTCATTCTCATGTGGTTGCACTCTCCAAATATCTCAGCCATTCTCAGCATTTGTTCAGTTAGATAAAACACACCCAGGTGTTCTGAACTCCCGATCCTGCTTTCAGCTCTTCTACCCCGTCCCAGTTTGAATTCACTTTCCTCTAACAAAAGTGAAAAGACTGTGTCCAGTTACAAACTGATACCCCTACTGGGCCTTAAGCTTTTCCTAATTAAGAAATATGAGGACTGCACTCCTGAAATCTTCATACAAAAGACTTACAAGTTCATAATTAGAACAGTTTTATCTAAGATGTCCTATCAATGTACATCTACCTGATTACATTAATTATTGATATTCCAGCAGGCTAGCAGGACCTCCTTCTCATATTTCCTCACAAAACTCAAAAGAGATTTACAAAATATCTATAAAGTAAGACAAAATAAGAATATTTTCAGTGACAGCAGAAGTGTCTTAACCAGTAACATATGCTCTTATAATAAAAAATACTAGATCCACTCACCTAAAGACATTAACAATTAACTGCAAAGTCGCTTGCTGAACTTCCGTATTCAGTTTCTGTTGCCAAGCCCTTCTACGCATTTGGAGTTCACTAAGATCTGTGCTGGCTCGGAGATGGCAGAGCTCTAGATCATAATGCAGCTGAAGACTCTCCACTCTGCACAGAGAAGAAAATTATCAAGTTACATCCTAACACAAATGATTTTTTTCATGCCTTTTAAAGAAAAAGTCATTTAGGTCTCACACGTCTTACAGCTAGAGAAAGTGCAAGATTGATTTGCAAGTGTTGACAAGCTAACAGTATTCCTGGAAGTCCTACTGGTACATGTAAATCACAATGCACTCAGTAAAGGCCAGTAAAAAGTTCAGAGAATAATCTGGATCAGTAATAAAAAAGAAACAAGCATTCCAAGTGTCACAAAATCATATGGTTATGATTATGTGACAGGTGCGCTCGACCCGTACTGGCTGCTTAAAGTTACCTGTAGATTAATTAATTGAAATTAATTATCAAATTTATCAAAATACAGTTTTTTTATATGAAGGAAAGAATATTATAATAAATAATACAAAATAAAAAACTTCAAAAGAGCATCAAGCATGATTTATACACTAAAACAAACACAACTTCAACATCTTTTCACCTTTTTATGAAAGTTTCTGCTGCTTGTGTTGGAATATCTGGAATTTCAAGTTCCTCTTCAGCCATTTTTGAATGTGTAATATCTCCATTATCTATATTAATTAGAACTAAATCTTCAGCTTCCTTTTAACAAAAGAAAATAAAATTACTGTAAATACACTTATATTGCACAAACATTTACTTCTCCTTCAAGTACTCCTCAGACAACGAATTATTTCAGCAAGGAGATAAACCAGAAAAGAATTGACCTTCTTCCGCAACTAGAAGACTGTATGGAAAACTAAATAATTATTTTCAAGAAAAATAAATGTCACTAAATTAATAGATATTAATCTAAGTACATAAGTGTTTAGTAACCTAATATGCTCTTCATGTAGTATTAAATTAATACTGGATCTCTAACCTCATCCTTGAAAAGCTATACATTATCAGGATACATACAAAACCATATATATGTACACAGAGAAGCTCCTGAAAAGCTTCTCCATTCAGCATTTACCTGTACTTACCCTGTGGGATGACAGGGAGAGGGAGAGTTTATATACTAGTCTGAAACACGGAAACACATGCTAACGCACAAAAAGTCACGTGGAGCTAAAGCCCATGCTGATGTCTCAGTTCACAATTTTAATAACCTTAAAGATCAGTCTGCAACACAGTCTATCTACAAGCAAATTGTTCAAATTATATCAAAGAAAAATGTGTTCTCTAATCTGTACTTGTTTCTGATAGGGACATCATCTTACTGCTAAGCAAATAAATATCCATCTGCTTCATTTTAACTTAATTCTTTGCTGATTTTGGACTTGCCTAGACGGACCAGATTCACTTTGGCTTATAATCAGATGGATTAATCTAATATAAATCTACACAATTTTTTCTGTGTTCAATTTTGAACATGCACAGAAACCCTATGTGACAACCTCAAAAAAGTATATTCATGTTAGCCCTCCACTACGTAGCTGTTTTTCTTAAATTTTTTGGGTAATCATGATTAATGTTACCCACTGAAAGAGGCTTAGTTAAATAAGATTCTGAAAAAAGACAAAAAAAAACTCAGAAAAAAATGTGATATTATATTCTTTACATGTCTTTTTCTTTCTTATTTTATTAAATACTTAACTCCACTATGGGGAACAGCAGCATCAGAGTGTCTTCAAGTGCATGCTCAATTCTTAACCCAGATGACTGGAAAAGGCACCTAATTCATCCCCCAGAACTCTGAGCAAAAAAATAACCTCACCTATCTGAAGGGAAACTATTTATACTACACAAACAACACATAAGTAGAATTTTTCCTTAAATGAAACTTGAACTCACAAAAATCATGGTATTATCCTGCAAAGAAAAGAAACTTAAGAGATACAACAATAAGATTTTTTTCAATAAGCCAGCGGTCACATCAGTGTGGTTCCATCACTTTTCAATTTCTTCACTTCTCACACACCTAACTAAAAAAAACAAGTTTCTAGATGTATCTGAAAGAAAAAGGGACAAATGCACTGAAAGTGAACAGCAAGAGTGGTAATAATCTAAAACATACCGTGCTAACTTCTTCAAAATGGTCAACATGACATCCCATAAGAAAAGATGTTGGGGCCATTACAAAATCCAGCATGTGACGAGACAGAATAGGCACAAAAGTGTGTTGCCACTGAAGAGGATGAAGGTACAACATAAAGCATTCAGCAATGAGTGTCAACAGAGCCCAATCAGAAGAGAAGAAAACTATTCTCTGCTCAGTCAAAATACAGGTCATAATCTGGAAAAAAATGAAATGCTAAATGTTTACAAAAAGTTATATCTAGAATATACACTAGATATGCACAAATATTTCAACTGCTTGTGAAAGTTAGTCTCATAAGTTCCGGTTTTTAATAGCTACCTTACATATTTATAAACGGAAATCATGTCCACTTAAAGATTCTTAAAAAACTAAGAAGAAAACAGAAAATGAAAGAAAATTTAAGTGACAGTGGAAGTCAATGAGAGTTTTGTCACCAATGTCAATGAGGTTAGGATTTAGCTGGAATTACTGAGAAGACCTTTTGCCTTTCTTTCACAGTATTAGACATTAGTAAAAATGTAAAAAAATGTAAAAAGTATCCAGATGAAGAATATAAGCAAACCTGTCTTTGCTAGTGAACACAAAGACTATCTGGGTTTTAGACATCTCAGCCAAACATCTATTCCAGATGACAGCTGGTCAGGTTCCTTACAGTGCCACTGGAGAGCAGCACTTTCCCAGAGCAATTCAGGAAGCTATGTGGAGATGTCAGCCCTTCTCCACTGATAGCAAGCAACCTGGTGGCATCTAAGCACCAAATTCAGATTCCTCAAGTCAGGTGGGACGAATCCAAGCCAAGACAACTAATGGCACACATAAGACATCTCACAGAGGTGCTAACACATAAAATTCCATGTTCAAGATGCACCAGTTGCAGAAGACCATTTAGGATTTGAGTTTTATTCATAACGCGCACGTGTGGGCAGAATGCAAAAAAATAAGCCAGTACTGCCTACTCTCAGGACTGAGGAGGTTTACAATCATCCAACCTGCTCTTTTTAGAGGAAGTGGTACCAATAACACTCATGACCTTGAGCAACCCCATGTAACTTCACACGTGGCCTTTGAACAGGGAATTGGATCAAAGAACCCACAAAGGACACTCCAAGCCAAAATTATTGCAAGATTCTATGAAACACTGAAAAAAATATTTGCAAATAGCTTTGTATTTTCCTGTCTTTCTATACCATTTACACTTTCTTTATATGAGTGCCAACTGTTATCAATCCATCCTACAGGTGCCTTTTTTACATATGAAAAAGATTCTTATGAATTTTGTAGAAATGCATGTAATGAGAACTCAAAATAAAATCTGTCAATCAGCATGGGTATTTATATCTTAAAATATACTCTTAAGAAATTTAGCACATATTACTAAACCACAGGAGAAAGAAATCCAATACACCTTAATCTAATTTGGTCTATAAATAACAAAATATCTTAATAAGGAGTATATTTTATTGTGCCCTATCTCTAATATGCAGAACTAACACTATTCTGAATTCCTGGGGTTATAATGTTTTTTGGGTAACTAAATATCTTGATTTTTTCTAAACCACAAATTACCAGTATTGTCAATGTCTAATACATTTTAAAATATCAGTTAGTTTTACCTGCAGCACCTGCTCTGGCTTGAAACACAGCAACGGAAGATGAAGATCCAAGTCAATAATCGGACTGTCCGAATCCTCTCGTGAAGGAATGATTATTTGAAGTGGTTTCATATTAAATACCTGTAATAACAGATGTTTTCAATTTACTTCTTAATGAAAATGTTCCCACAACACATTTAATTCAGGATTTTTGTTCCAACTACAAAATATTAACATTAATTGAGAGCAAGAACACCAATATTTGCAGACTACAGAAAACTGAAATAGAAAAGACAGGAAGATATTAAAAAACAAAATAACTAGTTTGAAAGTTAACATGGACTTTGTCTCCTGTCATTCTCATAGGCTGCTTAGCCAATAAAACTTTAAAAATATACATATATATATTCTTCTAACAGAATTAAACTTGTTTTGTTCTAATCATAATAAAATAATGTAATTTAGATTTGTAGATACAACTGGGAAATCAAAAGTATTGATAAAATTAATACAGAAAATAGAAGAAGTATGAACAAAATAACTGAGCATAGGTGCTCATGTCAAGAAGATAGAAGAAGCCAACACGAATGAGCATTTTCAGTGTTTCAGATACTTCAGCTCAAATATCTAGGGGCAGATCCTGCACGTGCTGCATATTTCAGCACTTTGCAGCTGGTTTAGCCAATCAGACAATTTTCCAGCTATGCTATTTTTTCCTCTGCTCCTAACCCCTCATCCCAGGGTCAAGGAAAGCAGCTAAGGAGAACTCCATGGCTGAAGCACTGCTTCACTAGAAGCCATTTCAGTAGACAAGAGATTCAGCTAACATCTAGCTTGAATTGGGAAGGGTTATAAAGAGGAAAAATACAGCCTGCACATGTCTGCTTCTACACTGAATACAAATGCTTATGTTAGTTTCTCCTCTCAGCTAGGTCTTATCCAGGCAGCAGCCAATCCAGAACATTTAATCCACTCACCAGAACATTTAATCAAAAAATCATAGAATCATAATCCACTACACACTGTTGTGCTTCCCCAGAGTCATTCAGACACAAGAAAAGAACAAGTCCAGAGCTGTATGTGTTGTTCCAGCAACTGATTTCTTTGGACTCTTTTCTTTCACAGGGACTGCACAACTTCTCAGTCACACAGCTGCATGTCCACCCATCACACAATCAGGATGACAGCCACGAGCATCCACATCAGGCAGCATGTCTTGATATCAGATACAAGACAGGGAACTCCCACACTTTGGTGGAGTGACAGTTACAGGATGTACTGGAGTTTATACATGTATATTCAATGAGATGGCAATGCCATCCTGCTCAGGTGAAAGGTAAGCTTAGCCCTATTTTCAAAGCACATGTAGTGTCACCGGTTTTATATCGGAAAGCACAATCTCTGACTTGACAGTGGAGAATGTCCCCAAATTTATAGAAAACAACATCTTAGTGCTTTGTAAGACATCATGTTAAAGTAATTATGAAATTCAGCATCAGTAATTACCAAATGGAGTGGTCCTGGTGGCGGGCTGGGTATTAAAAATAACTTTGCTGCAAATTCTTTTATGTGCTCCTCAACATCTAAATCCTTGAAAGGTCGCAGTTGCACTAGTAAGCTGAAATTAAATTATAGAAAATTACTTACAAATAGTAACATGCAAACAGAAAAAAAGCCTTTTGGCTGATAACCTGACACTAAAATAAAATTATTAGGAGCAATGAAGCTATTACTCCAGCTAAATATTTTCTAATTTATTAGATACTTCGGCAGCTTCATTTAATTTTAATGATGCTGCTGTGTCAGAAGCAGGTTTTGTTTTTTTTTTTTTACTTCCATGCATAAAATACTGCTGCATCATATAAATCAGAGGATGCAGATAGCACACTGGGTGTCATGATGGCAAAGAAAACCTAGGGGTGAGATGTAGCTAAAGGAAGAGTCATATAGAATTGCTTGAGGAACAAAACACCCACAGCTGCAACATAGTGCCACAGTGTTTCCTCCATCCCAAGCATCAGACATCAGCTCTGGGATGGAAAACAGCGTCAGAGGAAAAGAAAGGTTGTAGGCATCGGCTTAACTGCAGATGAATGTGAAGCAAGAGCCATATCTCACATAAGGCCTAGGCCTGCATGAATACTGTTCTTTGTTATTGTTCCTACTCATACAAAAAAGACTCAAAACCTTCACAAAATCAAAAATTCAAGCTGGCAAATCTATATATAGAGAAACTAGGTACTTAATATGGTTATATTCTCCCCTGAGGTTTTATTTCAGTTTGCAGTTCTACCGGTTTCCTGCAAAAGAACATTTGTTCTTCAGGAAGAAAGTGGTCTAGACAGCAACTGAATAGGTCAAGAGATATATTAGAATCCAGGACATCATATTTGTGCATGCCATTTAGATTCCTGGATAAAAATATTCTGACCTGTATTGCTGAGCTTTTAACTGGATTAATGAGACATTTAAGTTTACTAAATTCACATCTGGAAACTGCCCTCGGCTGAGTACTAGGTTGTTACACATACCCCACAGAAACCATCAGCTATTTAGGGTCACAGAGGAGGCAGGGGAAGGGGAATTTAAGAATTATCCGAGAAAACCAGACAGTAGAGTCATCAATTTAAACAAATATGCTGTCACACTTAGTAATGCCTTAGATGTGGTCTAAAACCATAGGCAGACCTGTTTTGGGGTTTTTTTGGACATAAAAAGCACATACCAACACATCCAGTAAATGTTACAATAGAAACAACCTGTCCTCGATGCTAAAAAACCAGGAGATGTACAGAAAGGCTGGCAAGAGCTCCTTAATCAGTACACTGGGCCCATTAATGCAATGTAATAGCAGCTGACAGCTCTGCACTACAAACGTCTGCTGAAATAAATGAAGTAATCTCCAAAACATTAAAGCAGAGAGCTAAGGAGTTTATGAACCTTCCATTACCTCTATTAACTGTCCACAGACATATGTTTCAAAAGCGAGAACATCTAAGAATAGGTCCTTTGTACTGCCTGAACGCTGTGAGCTATTTGAACAGTTACACCTTTTCTCAAGGCAGCTGAAAGGACTAATACGCAGGTGGGAAGATTTACTGTTTGAATGGAGCCTATTCATCCATCCAAAACATGAGTTCATCCAGAGGAGATGACTGCCAGGAATGTTTCACTTTTCAAGTAGAGTAACAGATTGAGGTAATACTACCTGTGCAAAGCGCAAAAACCTCTCAATTTAAAACTGAACCTTTTCAAATTATGATTTTTTCAAATAATGCTTGCTTTGGAGAGAGGCAGACATACTCCACTCAAATTGTTCTGGATTTAGAAGCACTGTACACTAGTAATATGTGAATTAGTTACAAAATCCATGACACAGAATAGTAAGACCTTCGTTACTATGATGAAAGTTCGCAAGTTCCCCTTGCATTTCAAAGCACCTACATAGATTTACAGTTTGACATTGCCTTTGTACCTCAGTATGGCCTCAGATTTCAGTTGTGATTTTGACTATACTCTGCCATTTGAAAAAGTTTAGGAACCCAGGTTTTAAATGGGAACGCTTATGATGATAAAATACCTTTGAGGAGTCTCCTGAATGAAAACAAGTACCACCCCACCTATAAGCAATCCTGTGCACTGCAGGTCCTGGAGAAAATAAACTATGCATGGCAGAATTCTGGAGGAAAATTAAATCTTCTGCTACAAAAAGGTCCTGAATGGAAGCAGAACCCCTTTAGATGCTACTCCAACATCAGACCTTCGTTAGTAATAACAAATAGTATTTTTCCACTAGTTCTCATGAAGAAAGGGCTACACAATAGAAATAGATTGTCTGAGGCCCACTAGTAAGTGTTTTCAAATCCCCAGACTCACAGAATGATTAATCAGTTAAAGCATCCTGCAAAATACCACTGAAGCATACCAAGGATACAAGTGTGCTTTTGAATGTGTTATTTATTTGTTAAGTATACAAGGCACTACTACTTGAGTGCACTCGGTCAACGAAAACATTTAATTAGATTTTTAACCAACTGGCCACCTGATTACAGCTAAGGCACCCAAATGACAATAACTTCCTTTCTGGTTTACAGGAAAACAATGTACATGTGTTGTAATGTTACAAAAAGCTGAAACATCCCCAGTTCTATAGGGCACTGTGCTCAAAATATCTCATTGAGGTCTTCACTGTAATTGCTTATATTCCATTAAGAACAGCCACATAACCCAGCAACTGATTCATGCCATATGGAAAAATTTCAGTAACAAAACCAAAATAAGGAAAAGCAGTACCTCTCCACCCCTTCCTCTCCTCCCACTCAAGAATACTCTGGCACAGTAAAATACCTTTTCTAAAAAACCAAACAAAACCAAACAAAACCGTAAGGGCAGACATTCTGAAATTATCTACCAGAGAGTATAAAGGAAAATACATGGTGATTATGAGATTTAAAAAAAAATCCAGAACAAAGTATCATGGAAACTTAATCAGCTGAGTTTCCAGTACAGTGGGAAACGCCAGCACCAAACACAGCTTTGTCACTTGCATTCCCCCTCTCCTGCCAGTCACACACACTTGCACATCTCTTCTCTCTCTTTTCCACTGCTGCATCTGGATGTAAGATGCAACTGTGTGACAAATTCTGCTATTAAATGACCAAGACAACACACAGTACTAACATAGAAGGCTATTGTCCTGACAATTATTCAAGCTTAAAGCTTACATGGTAGGTTACTGATAAATCTGAACTCCCCTTAGAAACCAGTACAGACTCAGCTTAAAGGGAAAAGCCATCCCTGCTAGGGATGTTAATGCTTTAAATAGGTGCAAAAACCTACTATATATGATCAAGGCAGAATTGTTTAATTATAATGTTTAAAATACACACCCAGAGGCAGAAGCTTGCACCTCTAGAGAGTTAACTCCACCTGGCTCCTGTCTGCTCTAAACAAATACAAGGGACCTAGATATATTTCTGTAACCTCTGGAATTTTCCATGGTTTTCGTGAACATTTTCCCACCTCTCCCTTAGTGGGCTATTTAAAAATCTGTTTGCAAACTGACTGCTTTTTCCAGCTCAGAGATGTCTCACTTCAGAGATTACACATTTATGAATATACTAATATACACCGATGAACACCGTAAATGTAAAGCTGAAATCTATACTATTTCCCACCCAGTGGAGAGCTAGCGTGCAGTGAGCCCTTATACAGGCTAAGTTCACAGTATAAAAGCAGCATGAATCCTGTTACAATGACTGGATATAAACAGCAAAGCACCACAGCTCAGGTGTACACCTGTTAAGAGTTACATATGCAGATTAGCGTTTACTTGATATTTGAGACTATAAAAAGGCAGCAGTGAATCAGCTCCTGCAATACCAACTGCTGATGTAATTGACTTAAACATAAGGACTGGAAAAAGTGATTTGGGCAGGAAAGGAGAAAGGGAAACAAACATTTCCTTTTTATTTTACTGATCATCTCCATTTCGCACTAACCTGTAAATACCTAGTTTCCATTACGTTGAAGACCCTTGTGCACATTAAACACCTTTATTAATGCTTAGAAAATGACAGAGCCGAGGTAGCATGACAGCATCAGTGGTGTGTTCACTCATACTTTAGGGGTGCCAGAGTGCCTCATTTCTGACATCACAGCTTTTTTGGAGGCAAGTTCTGAACTGCCCAAGAGGAAGGCACTGCTTTGTTCCTCCAGGGTTCTCTTCATCTAAACCAGGGAAAGCCAGTCAGTGCTCCAGCCCCACAGCACCAGGAAGAAGAGGTCCAGGGGGTGAGGAAATAAGTGCTCTGGTCTCATCCTGGTACAGAGTCAGGTTGAGGGCTAGTGATGCACCTCAGCTAGTACCCAGGACGCATGCCCGTGCTTGCTATTTTCTCAGCATACCAACCACCAGCTGAACAAACAAGACTCAAGCTCCAACCTAAAACCCTAACATCTTTCAACTTACATATAAGAAGCAAATACCTATGAAAGGAAAACACCTGACTTCAAATTTGACTCTAGAAAGGTTTACTGGAATTTAGTGAAAAAAATTAGTCTACCTTTGGACTACAGGTCTGGAAGTGAAGATTACCCAAGTTAATGTCCAATGTACAGAGACAGGCTCCCTGATGCAAGGAGTTTTTAATCCACTTCCGAAGAGAAGCCCATAGATTTTAACAATTCAACAAGACACACCAATGTTCACTTATCCTTTAGCTCATCCGCACTGTGGAATATTTGAGTGTTTCTAATTAGTGAAGTGCTCCATATCCTAAGATTTTCTCTCCTAGTTCTACAATAGCCAAGTAACCACTGTGCTCCCTCAAGTGACTTGGATTATTTTAGGTAAAGAATAAAGTGTCTTTAACTGCTTATTAATACATAAATTCATGTTCTTATGACATTAATTTGGTGCATTATAAAGATGTTTTTATGCTTTCAAAGTGATCTTCATGAGCGTGGCAAAATTATAATTAACTCTTCCAAAAAAAAAAAAAAAATCTTTGAGAAATCTGTTCCCTGCAAATTAGTATTTTCTAGACTTTCCAAACAAAGAAAATGAAGACAACATCATAACTAATTTCCTTGATATTTAAAACCTGTGGTTACTGTCTGGGTAACATTCACATTACATTTCTTCTTTTTCTCTCCCACATATCTCACACTACCATAACTTAAAATTAACACCTGTTTTAGCACAATGCAGTTATCCTGACCACATCGTGCATATTCATGTATTAAAACCTGCACAGCTATTCCTAGGAGAAAAACAAAGGATAGCAAGCCTTACCAAGAAAGACAATCCTTGATGGCATTAAAATACGGATATCTGGATATAACACAAATAGCAATCGGTACAAAACAGGCAGGCATCGTCCTAGTCTGTGCAGATTCCCAATGGGCCTGCCCATTTGAGGTAATACAGCCATCCTGCAAGAAAACTACAGATTAATGTGTTTATGTTAATCATTAATCTATGGCTCATATTTTCTTGAGAACCCTAGAGATATGATATCCAATTCCCTCTAAATTTCAAGGGGATTTGGATGTCTATCTCCCTTAGGCTCTTCAGAAAAATGTCAGCCTACAAGACTTAGACATATGTATTAAAAAGAATTTCAGCGCAAAAGACATTTAGAAAGAACACAGGGTACAATCTTCACCAAAAACAACGTCAAAGGAACAAAATCTGATAAATATTCAGAAGTCCTAACTGAAATCCATAACATTTTTCCTAATGCAATGCTGTTCCAATGTACTTAATTTACAATAGCAATATAAAGTATTGTTTGTTTTTTATTCCTACTAACATAAAACCTATTTTATAAATTAAACCTGACATTATTCTCAAAGAGTTTTATTTTATATATGTTAATATGTTTTAATAAAAGCATGAGTTAAATAACATACTTGCATAGGCTGGTAGTACTGTGCAACAACACCATATGTTCTGTTACCACAGACGTCTGTGAAGACCAGGAAATGAATGTGGTCCTCTTTAGATTCAGAAGTTGCATAAAGTCCTCCTGCAATGAAAGAAGAAACCTTTTCTTTTAACTATATATTTAACTACATCTGCTTGAAAAGCAATTAATGACAAATACTGAACATTTCCACTAAATTTCAAGAGAAATGTCTCATTTTAAGGGATTAAAATGCACAAATACAGTCCATTTGATCTAAGTGTTGCTACAAAGGCTGTAAGCTGCATATTACTGAAGAAGCAAAAATGTTATATAATTATTCTGCAATTTAAGTGGCAAAATCCAATAGATGAGGTTTTTTTCACTTTTTTTTTTTTTGTTCAAGATATTTGTAAGGTCTTCAATAGTAAAATGCATATTAAAATTTCTGCAACCAAACTGGAGAAAACAGTCACTACACTTCAGGTATATCTTAATATCAAATGAAAAGTGAAAGAGTACTCAGTCATTTTCTGGGGAAAAAAAGAATTTTAAAAGTGTGTGTGTGTGTATCACTTCACTCAAACCAAGTTTTACCAATAAGGGCTAACGTGACTTTTGACTTCCTTCTCCTGCAGGTGTTGCAGCTACTACTGCTAATAGATCTGTTTCACACAACATAGCCATACAAAGGGCACCTCATTCAGGTTAACAGCTGCTTTCATCACTGACCTGCTCACAAGCAGACACATTTTTTATACTGTGAAATACAAAGAGATAGAGATGATGATATTAAAGATTGGCTGTACTATGGGTCAACAAATATATATTAAAACAATTCTCATTATGAAGTCAGAACCCTGCCATACCTGGGAAGCATAGTTGTGGCAAACCAATAAGATCAATGTCTTTTGGAACTGTAATATCTTCAGTGTCAGGTGCTTTCTGCTCCCCATTGAGATTCTTGACATTTTCAATCTTTGGTCTCTCTTTTTTCTTTCGGAAAGATCGGCGTTTACTTTTATTCAAGTTATTACCAGCATTAATCACCTGAATATCATCTCTGCTGATAAATGGAGGCACAAATACAGAAAGAACTTCTGGATCAAGGGGAGGAAGACTTTTGGGTTTTCTTTGAGTACCCTATTAAAAACAAAACAAAAAACAACCACTAAGCTGACACTCATCCTGATAGGATTTTGAAACCATTTTTATTCCTGTTTTTTCTCTACCCCTATAATAGTGAGTTTAGAATACACCTTTTTCTTCTTTCTAAATAATTATTTTTTCCTTCTAATTTCTTGCTTTACATATGTTAATGCAAGAGGAATACTCTGGGTATTTTCAGTAGGCAAAAAAAAAAAAAAAATCACTATTCATCATTCAAAATGCACCATATCAATATTATGCCTTTGGCATAAGAAAAATAACAAATACAAAATATGGTATTTTCTCCTTTGAAGTGTTAGGATTAAGCATAAGCTATACTTCAAATAAACACTGCTAGTAAAAGAAACCAGGCAACAAACCTATGAAAACAAAGAAAAACAGATGAAGTCTCTAGATAAGTCTCTGTTCAACTTCAGGAAAAGCTACGTTTTAACTCAGAATACTTGCTACAGAAACAGAAATAAAGCAACAAAACCACATAAGGTTTCACAAGACAACTTTTAACTTTATGAGGCATTTTTTTAAAAGTACAATTAAAAACAACAATCACTGTTACAATAAACACAATTTTAAGACACTGTGGAACACGAAGCCATGAAAATTTCTCCATATACTGATGACTAAGTAGAACAAGCATCCCAACAGCATGTACAAAATTACAACATATTTTAGTAGGCATCTTTGTAAAGTACAAAGATGAAAGCCCTTGCTGTGTCCTGTGGAGGAAGCAATCAGAAGAAGATCTTTGTACTTTGGAGCACTTTTTGTGTTCTTGACCATAAAGTACAAAGTAGCAGCTGCTTTTTCAATTACTTCACTGCAATTTTAGTTCTTCCTGCAAGGTCAAAACAGCAAGTCAAAGCTTTGTTTAATCAACAGATATTTGGAAACAGGAAAGACAAGCCTCACTGTGGCTAAAAAGCTGTTTTGTTTTCAACTTTTTGCTAACTGATTCAAAGATAGATGAAGCATACATGCTGCTTTTACCTTCAGACATCATTCATTGGTATTACTTGTATTTAAGATATTCCTTGAGAACCAGTGCTGGCCTCTCTCATCATTTCCCTGCTTTTTAAAATAGTTATAACATGCAAAGCTCTACTGTTTCTCTAAAGCAAATTTTCCACCATTCAAGTTTTGGAACAGAAAGTCTCATTTTATTTGTCCCAGTAGACGAGTCCACCAGTAGTCTTCTTCACATTTGAGCATCATAGGAAAAATGAGAAGGAATACATACCTTCATGATTTATTAGTTACTTTATCTTAAGCTCCACTATATTCTATAAGAGGTTATTTGAAAGAAAGTACTTCAATAAAAATAAGAAGAAACACTCTTCATGAACACACACAGTCCGAACTAGAAAGAAATTAAGAGTGCAAAAGGTAAAAGTTCAGATAAGTATCCACTGGGAAATTCAAAAGATGGCAATGACTTTAAAAAGCACGTTACAAAGTGGGGTACCGAGTGCCATGTCTAGCCATGCTAAAAATGTCAACTGTCATTTTCCTTAGCTAGTAGCTGACACCCATTTCAAGTGAAGAAACTGAAAATGCAAATAAATCCAACATGATCACTCTCAAAATAACATGCAGCCAAACATTTCAGAAGGAAATTAAGAAGTAAGGTTCAGCCCTGAAGCTGTTACACAAGAAAAACACAGACCTACTCAAACAGTAGCAATCTTAACTTGGCAGATTTGCCCTGCAGAGGTTTTCACACAAAGTTGCTTTGACAGGGCAATCCCTGACTTTCATTGAAGGCATCTCTGTGCTACAAAGTGCTGGATGACAGCCAGCGATTTAAGAGCCTCACAGTGTAACAGCTTCTAAAATGGCAGGTCCTTGATGTCTTGAACTACAGCAGAGGCATTAAACACCTTTTTTTTTTTTCCCCACAAAACAGCACTGTCAGCACTGTCGCTGACCCAGTGACTCACTCATCAGCTTTCAAGGCAGCTCATGTTAACGTCTATGGCCAAAGTCACATTTTCTTACCCTTTCAGTTCAGGGATAGCAAATGGGCAGCAACAGAACAATATTCATTTGTTTCTACTGTTCTTTGGACATTTTATACTCTCTGCTTCTACTGTTACTTCTTCTTTTTGAAATGCTTCTCTTCTGTCACTTCTTACTATCAAATGTCCTTGCATCATACACAGCTTCTTGTAAACACTAACGCCTTTTCTTTCCTGTAATTCTGCAAGATTCGAGAAGTCAGGGATTTTATGCCATCCCCATTTACTGATTATGTTCTTGTAACAATGGTGCCGTACAGGACACAGACAAGAGACAGACTTTTTACAATGACCACACTATTTTAGACACAAACAAGAAGTAGTGTGTTGAAACCACAGATCAGAGTGTGATCTCAGCTATTTGGTGTTTCCTCGATCTCATTCTCCTCTTCCCATCACTGAAGAAGTTAGTTTCATTTTGAATGTGAAAAACATTAATCCATTTGAATGAACAAAAACACTGGCTTCTTTAAGGAATAACTGGGCAGGGAAAAGCATGAAGCCTTAGAAAAATTAGGGTGGAAGGGACCTCTGGAGGTTCTAGCACAACCTTTTGCTCAAAGTAATAACAACTTTGAAGTGAGATCAGGTTGCTCTGGGTCTCATCCAGTCAAGCTTCAGAAATCCCTTAGGATTTTAAATTCTTTCCCCCTCATGCTCCAGCCCGCATGTAGCTTAGCTTCTTTTGGTCTTGCTCTCAATTGTCAGCAGTTCTCCAGTATCAAGGTACCCAAATGTGGGACAGTATTCCAGATGTGACTAAGAGTAATAATCCCTTCCCTTCCCCTGGGAGCTACAGTCCTGATGATGCAGATCACTAAACAGCTACTTTTCACTGTCAAAAGCACACACTGCTGACTAATGCTCAACTTGATCACACCCAGGGGGGCATTACAGGAGAAGGAAAGAATCAGTTTGGTGGTTATGTCTGCGTTAGCGGATGATGTAGACACTGTAAGAGACAAGATCTGTGCCACTGACTGCAGTAGTTAGATATAGAACCCAATGATGGAGCCAATAGGAAGATCTGAGACATCTCACAGACAGCTTACACATCATACTTGCCATATAAAAATCCAGCTTTATAGCTGAAAATAACTTAGAGTACAGAAGTCTTATCAAAGATGGTTGTATGATCTTTACTATCTCATTCTTACAAAATACACACTTCCAACACTAAAAAAGTAATCTCTAGCCAAAAATAGTGGCCTTTGATCTCTTCATATTGAAATCTTAAGAGTGACAATTATCTTGGCAACAAGGAAAACAGATGGATGACAGCCTAGAAACTTCTGTTTCATGAGTCTCAATGCAAAACTGTATCTTTTTTCCTGGAATCCCTGTCCACAACAGGTCAGTCATATAAGACTTGTCTTACTTTGGGAATGGGTTATATCATGTTCCTCCTGACTTCATTACTCCGTATTGCAACCATGTTAAGAGTGCACAAACACACTTTGGAGACCAAGATCTGAAGCACTATCAAGATCTTTACCCTGCCGTTTCATTTAAGTATCACCAAAAGTTCGCTGGTTTCCACTGAAATGTTTTTATTTTCTGTCAATAAGGTCTCTTCTTTCTATATTCATTGAAAAGAGACACAAAACATATTCCACCACTTCTTCATATGCTGCAGAAGGAAAAGGAAATGGAGTAAGTCTATAAACCTAAGACAGAGATTGAAATCCCTGTGGTGTAACAGCTTGCAGAGACGTTACTATAGTTAATACTGACAAGTGTAGGGTCTACTTTCCTTTCTGACACCCCATTTTACACCTTGAGCAAAGAAACAATTCAAAACCTGCAGAGCAATCAGAATATCAGAATGGCTTCTACTTTTTGTAGCCAATTTCCTATTTGTTGTTCTACGGGTTCTGTGGAAGCAGTAAGATGAAACTGAGCAGACTGGAATGAAAAAGAAATCCCCCTTCTTTTAGGTTTACTTCTCATGCAGATGCCAAAACAACACATACACGTCGATTTCAAAAGTCTGGTGGTGACATTCATGGAACAACTACTTCCCCAATTCCAATGTATACATGATTGAGATCCTGGAATTTGAACCTCTGCTTAGCTGATATCACTTGAGAAGCTGACCTCAGCAAAAGCCGTCTCCTGAGTGAGTGAGCAGCAACAAGTTTAACAAAGCCTTCTTTATCTAATGCTGTTAGAGTGTGCAATGAAATTCAAGTTCAAGCAAGGCAACAGAGAACGCTGGGAGCAGCTTGGCTTTTCGGCAGGTGCTGACACCACAGCTGCTCCCACAGCGGGGCGGCTCATAGGCATCTAACAAAACCATGAGCACATTTTCACAAAGCAAAATCAGGAAGAGGACTTTAATCGTTAACTCACATGTGAAGTGGCTGTAGTCATAAACAAATTATAAACCACATATTCAAAGCAGAAACCAAACCATCAACTTCTGACGTATTGCTCTGGTTTTGCCAAATTCAAAGCACTAAAATTAATCTCAGCACAGGGATTCTGACCTCACGTTTCCTAAGGATACAAGTTAGCAAGCTTTATTCCCCTATCTTTAGCTTTTATCTCCAACGGAAGATGGGAAATGGGATATTGTCCAGTAAAGGATATGCATTGTTCAAACATTTTGCTGTTCCCGCTTATATAAAGCCACATTGCATTCTTCATCTAAGCTCAGATCTCTGCAAAAGTGTAATTACTTAACGCTGCTATCAAATTATCCTTGCTTTGTCGATGATCTCCTGTCAAAACAAGTTTTCTTTCAAGTATTTCTGCTCTCTGCGACGACAACAGCAACAAGGCAACTCCATAGTTTTCCTCAAGTGCGTACAGTGGAGAGAGGCCCGGCCAGGGAGGAGCTGACCCGGCTGAGACTCCGCGCAAACCGCGCTGACAGAACCTGCCCCACACACCAGCCGGGACGCT